GAGACAAAGCGAAAATTTAAAGTTCAGCATTTGGTATCTGTGAAATACAGCTGCTAAAAGTGTAGTCATTTTTACTGTCCTAACCTCAGCAGCATTTTAAAAGTAGCCTGTTTGTGGAGGCCTTGTTTTTGTTTGGACGCCTTTTAAAGTTGTTTGTCAAGAACAGTGTTTCTCGAGTAATATTTTTTGAAATACAATATGCCCAGTGGTGGATCTAGAAAACCTTGGATGGGGTGGCCAGACTGGCACAGACTCCAAAAGGTGTGGTATGTTTGAAATACATGTAAAAAGTAAATGAATTCCCTAGTTCTATGAAATAATAAACCATACATACACAGTGCTTTCTTTAGCTAGTTTTAGCTGTGCTATTTATTTACTCCCTGCCGGGGGCACTGCTGCTGCACAATTGTAGACAAGGCTACACCTGCTGGAAATTTCACCTTAATTCTGCAAATAAAGCATAAACCACAATTTGAATCCACCTGTGTGAGGATACATAGTGTACATAGATATTTTTTTTTTTAGCAAATCAGAAGTGGCAGCATCGTCGTCATTTTTCTAGGCCTGGGCCCAGTTCTTGTAAACAAATACGTGCACTCACACATGCACACAAACGCAAATCCAGTCTTTGAACATTTAAAATATGAGATTTGCCAGACAAACAAGCCCAGACAACAACAACAACAACAACAACAATCACGTTTGACACACACATACATGCACACTGTGCATAGTCAAACTGAGGCTTTCAAGTGTATTTAGCTGGATGGAGAGAAAAGCAAAAGAGCTGCAGAGGAAATATAGAGATAAATGTCCACTCAAACAGAACAGAAAAGTAATATGTTGAATAAATTGTACAGACAAAAATACAGATGCATGTTTAAAAAAAAGACGCAACGGATTCAGTCATAATTACTGCACATCCACTTAGTGCGTATCATCTTTGTCACTAGAGTATTTAAATGTCAAGTACAGTGAAACATGTCACTGTATAGTATGTGTAAAATTGTGCCTCTTGCAAATATGTCAGAAGATTTTTCAAAGGTTCGGCACTGTTGAAACTGTTTAGAGACCTCACACAAACACACACACACTAGCCTCGGCTCAGACTTCAGCATACAACATCAAGCTCATACATATCAAGATCGTACATATAATCCATATTTTTGAATGTTGAACTGGAACAGACTTGTGAGTGGAGGAGGGATGGGGTTATTCTTGAGTCTTTACAGGCCTTAGAATGTCACTTTTTGTCCTGTCAGTGTCTCACAGATGTCAGAGAGTTGTGACATCCTAATAATGGTTGCTGTCTTAAAAGGATGCCAATTATCACATAATTAGAACTAGTTAAATATAAAAAATAAATTACTAGTATATGCTTTAAGGAAGATGTTGGATGCTACAGATGTTTTCTATCAACCCATTCACACATTAAAATGTCTACTAGTTTTAGACATTTCTAATGTTTTAAACAGTCATACCTCCCAATATACGGCAATAAACCACTAGTATTAAAGGTATAGCTATACTGTGGTAGTTACTGAGAACTTAGGAAGGACTTTACACACATTTAGTGATGATTCATGAGTAACAGGTGCAACTCGGTTCTAGTCTTGCCTTCAGAAAATAAATTTTAATCCACTGAAGCCTTTACCTGGTTAAATAAAGCCGTGGTTTCCAACCAATTTGAGCTTTTTATCTATTAAAAGTAAATATGGTAGTACTGTACAGTTTTGTGTGTTAGTTTTTAATTAGTGTGGACATAATTTCAGATCCCTGAAGATGTTTAAAAAAGACATTTGTGACCCTTCAGATTTATCTTGGGACCCTCTTGGGTGCCACAACCCCCAGGCTGGGCATCATTAAAACAAAATACTCTTCACCTATGGTATATGGTTTACTTTGGATTGGAGCATCAGCCAAATGCTTGGTGTGAGATTCAGTTTCTGATGGTTATACAGTGTGTAGAATGAACAATACAATGAACAGGAGACAGAAAGACCCAGGGACTTGAAGCAGGCAAAGTAATGAAGGTAAGTTTGGAGCGTGCTCCCTGTGTGAGTATAGAAAAGTTGGCAGAGCTGCTGAAACAATGAACTGAGGAGGAGGAGGGAGAGGGTGGAGAACCAGTGGGTGAGGACAGCTGTTTCTAATCAATTGCTTCAGTGTGATTGACTGCTTGACTGACTGTCAGCTGATTGGCTGACTGGCCTGTTGACAGTTGAGTTGGGGCCAAAGGCGGGCTTTTACTAGTTGAACCTGTCTATTGAACTTATCAGTGACTAATTTGTTGGTTAAATGACAAAGTGACACACTGGTTGTCATGGCAACTGATTGGCTTTATGTCAATACCGACACAATTAGTGTGAAGCCCTGGTAACTGTAGGAATGATGTAATGTGGCCACTCCCACTGGCTTCTTGTTTTTCTCTAGCCTCTCACACAGAACAGTTTACATAGACAACATTCCACACACACAAACAACCCCTCTCTTCCATTTCTTATAAATTTCTCATGTTCTTGTTTTCAATTGTGTCAATAAAAGGGAGTTAATGTTGAAATTCCTTCTCGTTTCTCTCTCTCCATCCCCCTCTCCATAAGACAGACAGCATGAACAAAAACATTTAGGTAGGCCAAGTTCACGTCTGGGAGTGGTTGCTAAAGGGGGCCCGGGGGGCGCTCTGAGGACCAGATGTGCTTCCTTTGGGGAGGAGGGAGGTTGGGGTACATTCACGGGCCTTGAGCAGAGGAGTGGAGTTTTCATAGGGCTCCAGAGAAAGTGCAGAGTCCCGTAAAGTGTTGTAGAGAACGCTGAAGCGTCGCTGTGCAGGAGATTCAGCTGCAGCTGCGAGAAATCTATGCAGCTGCGTAGGTTCATTGTAAAGTTGGTCCTGTTTAGCAAAGAAAGAAGCAATACTTTTCACAAAATGTCTCAACTAATGCAGGAACCAGGAGCTTGTGAGTCAGCCATATTGGTGCCATCCAGCAGCAGCTTGAAGCCTTTGTGCAAAAGCAGTAGTAGATCAGAAGTGTGTTCATGTATTCACTGTAAGCCATGAGCTCCTACCCCTGCCTTCTTCGACTTCGCACTGCTGTCAAGTCACAGAAACCTTTGACAGTCCCTCTCCACATTAATTTATATTTTTGACCATGTTTCAACCAAAATGATATTTGAAAAAGTTATCAAACCTTAACTGTGGCTGTGGCAGATAGAGAACAATCCTGAACAAATTTTTCTGTAATGGTTTCGGAAGGCGTTCAGGCAACAAACGCATCAATACCATGGCACACACTGAGAGACAACTTGTATGAAAACAGAAAATTGCTCATGAAATATCAGTTTTGAAAGTCTTCCCAGCATTCATGGTCACAATCACATGAAACTCGCCAAATAAACAAATGGTCCCATAAACAGGGTGATTAGTGTTAAGTAACTAATATGTCATGCATGGTCACAAAATATTATGTGGATAGAAAGACTTCAGAACACCAGTGTAAGACATTAAAGGCATAATGGAAGGAGGTGAACAGAGGACAAACTATAATTGAAAGATTTAGAGCAGTGGATGTGAGCAGCTGGCTGGGGAGAACAGTTGTGAAGCCTGAAGAGCCAAACAGCTCCAGAGAGGAAGCGCAGAGCCTCTCCACCCTTCTCCTCAGAGTCCAGGGGGCCACGTCATGGGCCCGAGAGGCTCCTGCAGAGATGAAGCTTCTTAAAGAGATACTCTAACAACATCTGTTGTTTTAAGGTTCCTCCCTGTGCACGTGTTGTCACTTTGCTGTGGGGATTTGTTCCCATTCAGCCACCAGAGCATCACCGAGGTCCAGCACTGATGGTGGGTGATACGGCCAAGCAGCTGAAGTTCCAATTCGGCCCCAAATGCTGAGGTCAGGGCTCAGTGCAGCCCATTCAAGTTTTTCCACACCAAAGTGAAAAATAGTTTCTTTTTTGATCTAGCTATAGGCACAAGGGCACTGTCATACTGAAACAGGAAATGAACAAACAAGAACTGTTGCCACAAAGTTGGAAGCACACTGACATATCACTATATGCTGCGGCATTCAGATCTCTCTTTATTTAATTTAGGAGGAAGCTCAAACCATGACAAACAGCCCTAGAGAAAAGCACTCAAACGTTTGTGGACAGAAGCATCCACTCAACTTTTCTTTTACCCACCCACACATGTACATACATTCCCACAACGTTGGCGCGCACAGTTACGCGCCGTGGTGCATAAGGGTTCATCCATCCACTGTCACCCTTCTTCTCCTTCTCCCCTGCCTCCCATTTTTCTGTTTTCACTCCTTCTCCTCATTTTTTTATCTTCTCCTCCTCCCTTTTTCTAATGTCTCTTCTTCATCTCTTCCTCCTCAAGAGAGGTTTACTTTTTGGGAAACACCAAGCTGTTGCGCTCCGTGACGCCTGGCCAAGCCGGACAAATTAAGATCTGACGCTGGGTTGTTACGCTTCAAAATAAGAGCATAGAGTATAGAGACAACTTAATTAACATGTCTAAAGCACCAAAATGACTTCAATATGGTAAGAAAACACACTGTGCAATATCAAATTGTACAATTGTTACAATAATAGTTAAAATCCATAAAAGTGATTCATGTTTTTACAAAGTGGGCAAAATCATGTAGTCTATATAAATCCATTTAAACAGATTTAAAACATATTCAACGTAGAGGGATGGTTATGACAAGCCAATTGCTATAAATTCTAAGGTGGTTATTATTATTATTATGTTAACCTATATGTTATGTAAGGCCAAAGTGCTTCACTTGGCATGAAGTGTCACTATATTCCACAGTCTTATATAGTAGTAGATATATTTAAATAATATCAATTAATTACATAATTAATCCTCAATTCATTTTTGGCATTTTAGTGGGTTGGATTAGCCTACTGTGATCAAAAAATGCATTTAGGCTTTGCATTTGAAAGTTTAAACCGGATGTTTTGTGTGTTACTCTGACTAATTTGACTCAAGTCGTCCACACCAAAAAAGAGAAAAGCTCGATCGCAGTCAAAAACAATGAGAGCGCACGACGCGCGTTTGCTCCAAGCTTGTCCAACAGCAGTGGAGTTTTTCCTCCCGGAGGATTCATAGCATGCGTCTGCGCGCCAAACTGCGGGAGAAGGACCACAGGAATATAACTTGACTATCTGCGGAGTTTGTTATTCTTTGCAGGGAGAGAGAAACCATGCCTTTTTGCAAACGGACGATACTTCCAAAGGATGTGTGCAAGCCCGACGGCAGGAAGGTGCTGGAGGCGCGTCCGCAGCAGCAGGCGGAGATTTTCGGTGACTTGGTGGACGTGTGCGGCTTCACCCTGTGTTCGGTGCTGCGACAGCTCTCGGATCTGTCCCAACACTCGGTGAGCATCCTGGAGGAGCTGGAGGAAGAGCTGGTGTCCATCTGCCACCGGTCCGGCGCGCTGGAGAGCAGAGTGGTCCGGCTGCAAAGGCACGTCGCAGTGTTGCTCAGCAAGCCTCCGCCGAGAAGTAAGAGGAAATTAAAAGAGGAAATTCAGTTAAATAAAACCACATCTTGTATCACTTTGCACGACTTGCAGTTGCAGGAGTTGTTTTAGTCTGGTGGAATTAAAACAGTGGTGACCAGCTGTGTGAAATAAGCCCCAGTGATGGCTCTTCTTTAGAGATGTGTGGTTTAGTTAGTGCTTTTTGTTCATGACTCACTATTGACCGCAAACAGTGAGAGGTCATCACTGCAGTGTGCATGGTCCATCTCAAAATGATGGCTGTGAGTAAGCGAGAGGTTTATTATTAGAGGGTTTGTTATTGTCAGCTGGCAGAGAGGTGTCTTGCGTTCAGTTGCTGCAGGAAATTCCACAATTTACTTTGAATGTTCCAGGAAAAATGAACTTGTACTGAAAACAGGTTTTATATAAAACCTGAGTTAACTGCAAAGACGTGACGTCCAAGGGGGGGAAGAATATGCAGGCTAAGCATGTCAGTAACCGATAGGTGTAATGTTGTTAGATGAGTTTTTGTAAGTTGCAGTTACAAACTTTCAAAACGGGAAAACAGGAAAAGACATGCAAAGTCCTACACTCTCGTGACTTTCTGTGACTTCAGTTCTTGGATGTGCAGATTTACAAGATGTTCCTGAAAGCAACATATAGTGGCTATGGAGAGCGGAATGTATTCTCAGTGTGTACGCAGAGGTGTCACCCGTGCGTCTCTACCTGTCACTATGTCCCTGTCCCCTCCTTCACAGCCTCCTTTTCTTTGTGTTGTATTTTTCTTTCATCCCTGTTTGACAGTGTCGTCGGGTTTAGAGTTAAAGTGGGGTTGTACCAGGCCAGTACTTATTGTTATGTCATACAAACATCCTAATGAAGTATGTGCAGTGCAGACAATGGAAAAGTGTTTTTCTGCTGATTTAAAGAGCTCACTTTTAAATCTGTACATTTTGGAACTGGTGATGGTTTAACTATGCAATCTACTGTATGTGATGTGGCAACATGAAGCCTCCAGTGCACGTACACTGAGAATGTCTGTTGTCTAGTAGTTAAACTTTAGGAGTAAAACATATTTTTATATTCCTAGATTCTGGATTTATCAGCAAAGAAGATGGAATTTTCAATTTAAAAAAAAATCTATATTAGACAAACTGTATTTCTTGGATTATTATGCTTTTATTATGAAATTATGCTGGTCAGAGAAATGGATGTTGCATTGCTTAATTTTCTTTTGTTGAATTTATAATGGAAATATTTTCAAACAACAGATTTTGATTGTTTCACCCAGTTTGTATATGGGTGTGCACTCTGTGTACCACCAACTATGTACTGGAAACACAGTGTTAATATTCTCCAACCTGTGGTCTTGCTGACTGATAGTTTGACTCTTGGCTGGCTGGTTGGGTTGGTTTCACTTGTTTCCACACAAAGATCACCTGTAGTCGACGGCAGAATAATTGTTTCCAGTTTTGAAGGATTCAAAATCAATAATCTAAAATTATGACGTGATACTTTATGTCATCATGCAGTACAATACAAGTCTGTACTGATTCTTAGTAAATCAATACCAAGACAATGTGTACTGGTGCCGTTTGCAGCTATCTCAGTGTTTTAATTCTTCACACACCCAAAGGTATGAGCACATGTACTGTAGTTAGTGCTGCATTTAATGATAGTTTCACTATCAGTGTCACATACTATACCTGCAAAGTTCTACCTGACAGCAGCTCCCATTCAATTAAGATGCAGCCCAGATGCATGATGGGAGATTTTCACTGTAGCTGCCAGCCCCGTTTTACTCTGCAAACAGTGCCTAAAATTAACTGTGCACAGTTTTCTCTTTGTTTGCATTATAACTCAAGAGTGAGCAAATGAATAAAGTAAGCCGACTGTGAATGTGTTTATGAGGCTGTCAGCAGTGTGTGTGTGTGTGTGTGTGTGTGTGTGTGTGAATTAGGCACAGTGTGGTAAGAGAGAAAGTCCCTCTAAACACAGACCAGATGTAGAACTGGAAAGGGGAGAGGAAGAACGATAAAACAAAATGCAACTCACCCTTTAGTTTACTTTTGTCAGAGTGAATTCACCCATGTGTTTTTTTGTGTGTGTGTGTGTGTGTGTGTGTGTGTGAGAGAGAGAGAGAGAGAGAGAGAGAAAGAGGAAAAACATTTTTGTACATGTGTTCATCTGAGATTCAAAGATCCTCACTCTTCTCTCTGCATTCTAAATTCTGTGTGAGCTCTTACTGTATCACCAACACGTGGGCAGAAGCACAAGGCTAAATAATCAATAGCGCTGGTGTGGGCCTTCATCTCTCATCATCATCATCCTCTCACCACCTCTTCTTTCTCTCCTACCTCTCTCTTGTCTCAGGAAAGATGGAAAACAATAAAGTACCCTTCACCATAATGGTAGACAGTTTGTATCCTCAGTTGATGACCCATTTAAAGGACATACTGCATAAAGAAAAAACAATGTGCCCATGGTTTTATTCATATGAAAATGATTTGTATACATGGTATGTTTTCAATTGTTTCAAGAAATAAGGATTTTTCGGATCAGGACTAAATTTGTTTGGTGAACATAACGCTGTCTCAGATTTGGTGTTTGGCTGGAGTTTTTAAGAGTGTAAACGTCGCCAAATTTCATAGAGTCGCTAATGTACTGCAACCATAAACATATGCAGCATCCAGGAACAGGAAAATACGACATGGCCAGTGTACTTGTTGTGTTTTTTTTTGTTTTGTTTTTTTTTTTAACCTAATCACAAAAAGCTCTAGTATGAGATGCCCCCTGCAGTTGGCTAATGTTTGCAGCTAAAGTTTGGGCTGACACATGCGCTGTATAATGCATTCTTTTTATTTACTCCTTTTGTGTTTGGTTTTGGGAAGGCTAAAAAAAGACACCACCATCTGAAGTCTGTATATCCTGCATATTGGTATTTCTACAGCCCCAAGCACGCAGCATGTGGAGAAATCAGGCTTGACAGGTCTGCCGTGCCTAGTTATGGTTGCTAAGGTGTGATTGGACAAGGTGAAATGGATTCAGTGGGTTTCCATTAGCATGTTTAAAGTTTGGTAAGGTTAAGGCAGCTTAGGCTGTTCACATCTGTAAAGATGAGATAAACTTGCAGTCTTTTCCCTCATTCAAGGACAAAAAAAAAAAAAAAAAAAAAATCTGTGGCTATTTGCATTTCCTCCAATAACAACTGCTGACAGTCCCCCCGTCCACCTGCCAAAAAAAATGAAACTTCGTCAGTTGCATAAGGAAGACCACGTTGAAACACTTGTTCCAGGCTTGGATGAGGGACTTTTTTCCACCCGAGTGTAGAACTCGTACCGCAGTTGGATCTTCTGAGCTGCTTACAAGACCTTGGCACGATGAAGTGATGGGGGATTGCAGCTCTCCACCCAGGGTGGAGGGGCAAGAGTCAAATTGATACAGAGGAAGAGGATGTCAGTCATCACTTTGGAAATTTTGATACTGTGACAGTGTGTGTTCTCTTCCACTGGAAGCTGTCACTCAGATGAGTTGAGGAGTTTGTCCTCTGCAGCTTTCTGTTTCTCCCACTGGCTTCATTTCCTGCCATTTTCTGTTGCCTGCTGCTTGACCCTAAGTGGTGCAGGAGTATCCCAAGTATGTGAATGGAAACCAAAGCTTTGTGTTTTCTTTTGGTGCCTTTTTCCAACGTGGGAAACTGCATTTGTCCTTTGACCGAAACTTATTTTAAAGGCAGATTTTGCTGAAGTTTGCTTTAACAACATGTACCCCACCCAGCTTGTAGTTTTAGTCGAGGCATGGTGAAAGGGTTTGAGCTGAGTTGTTATAATGGGTAAATCCAACTAACTAGCCATGGAAGCTAGTTAGTTGATGTTGCATAAATAAATCACCTAAGCCATCTGAAAACCTAAGAAAAACCCTGAACAATTTATTTAAATAAAAATTCTGTGACAAAGAGATGCATTTAACAGAGTTTTGCCAACATTTGAACAGACAATTAGAAACTGTTAGACAGCTGTGTTATTGTTGAAGGGTCATCTACTGTCTGTTTAAATTTGAGACAAGTTTGACACAGGAGTGTCATGGGAGTTTGATGCCTTAATTAACACCTTTGCTGCAGGGTTGTAAAAAACGGTGTCTTTCCAAAAAGTGTTTAGTTTGGCCTTAAATGTAGAATTGTGGGTTGGAGAGCAAATCAAAGGGGTTCTTTGTAGAGCTGCCATTTTTCATCAGTGTTCATTTATCATATGAGGAGAAATCCATCATTCCACTACTTAACGGTGACAGGGGCCAATTTTTGCACCGGCATCAACAACTAGAATGCAACACAGCTAGAATAAAAGCCTCAGTATGCGTCAAACAAAGCGCTTGTTTGTAAGTTTAACTATGCCTGAAACCATCTTCAACAGCAGAACTGGGGGAAGCAATCAACAATTTCTGTAGCTATCTGAAACCAGCAGTTAAACAAACATTTACACTGTGTAGAGGTGAAAAAGGGGTGCGGCTTTGAACTTGTCTCACTAGCTTCTGCTTCTCCCATTTCACCTGAATGTTGCACAGCATAAAAATCTGGGACAATATTTTGATTACAGTTGTCTCAGCTTTACATTGTGTAAGTAGAGATGGTGCAACTGAACAAATTTCAGTGTGAAACTACCAGTTTCAGTTTTAATTGTAATGTAGCTGTTATAGTTGATGTTGCGCTCCAGCTGGTGTCTGGTGTCCTGCTGGTAGTGACCACTCGTTTCTTTCTTTCACTCTACTGTGTTTTTTTTTCCCACAGCCTGTTGTGAAAATGATGAGAGGATGAGAAAGAGTCTTTAACTTCCTTCTGTTTCTCTTCATAATTCCCCTCCTGTTCCCTCCCTCGTTCCCACGAGTGGATGTCATGACTCAACATCCCTCCTTGTTGGCTCCTCTGTTAAACCTCCTTCTTTTCTTTCCATCCTCCAACACTTTTCAGCAGGCTTTTGGTAAAGAGTGATGCATGCAGGATGCAACAAGTCCTCCAAAAAACGGCTT